ATGCCTCAAGGAAGTGCAGCGCTAGTTCATCATGAGTGTAATTATTGTATAGAAACATTGTAAATAAAGCTGCGCATATCAACTCCGTGTCTGTATTTCACTCTCACCCGGTTACATTACCTTACGGTGTTTAAGGCGACATACACTTTCGTGTACATTAGTGCCGTATTCAACTTGAACTTGCGGTACACAAACTAACACCTCAGTTCGCGCTATGAATTACATTTAGTGGTAGTGTGAACATAAAATAAAAGACTACGCAAGGTAAATTTTACTACACCACGTATTCTGAGGCAGCGCGCGCGAAATATTCGTTCATTTGCTGTATTCAACTCGGACGGTACAGAAAAAATCCATGAGGGAAACATTACAACCTCACGGAATCTGAGGCAGCGCGCGCGAGGCGTGGACACGCATGCTACATTCGACTCAGACAAGATTCTTCACCTGGCGTCGGCGCGCTGGGAGGTACGTTTGCGCGTGGAAAGGGAGAGAAGGGTATTCGAAGTCGTTCAGAATCTCCTGGCTCTTGGGACGGTTGCAGATCTACGGTTATCCCACGAAACGCGATTGAATCGAACAGTTAAGATGCTGTCCCACGAATCTGTTATCACAGCTGTGCTTCCATTGCTCACCTGGTGCAACGACACTGATTTTCATGGTGGATGTGTTCTGCGATCTCGTGTCTCTTGTTTGCTGATAGCTTCATTCCGCGACCTCCGCCCCTGCGACCACTCCAATTCGGAGTTGATCCCGTCTTTCCCATCCCAAAAATTCTACTTTAGCTCTTCTGTCGTGTCAGTGTACTGTAAATCACTTGGAAGAACATTACAAAATGCCGAAAGTCGGCACAAAGACGACTGAAAAAGGGAAAAAATACTACAATTTTTTAATATCAAAAGGAAATGTTTAGTGACCTCTATGAATTTAAACTGATTGTACTTACGTTTTGTAATGATTTCGCACTTCTTCGAGAAAAAAACATAGTTTTACTTTTTCTTAATAGATGTTTTTCCAACTTCAAAAACGTAGAGCTGTTTTCTCTTCTTTCTTAGTGTTCTTATTGAAGACGATGTTAACAATGACGTACATATCCGTTTTAAGCTTCTCCAATTGCATTGATGTTTCGTTGACACTTAATGGATTTCTTCTGTATCAGGGTACATTTTAAAGTCAACATCATTACATGCAAAGTGGCTGGAAATAATTACAGAATGTGAGTTTTGCAGTGAAAACTCACTGCTATCTCATATATATGAGAACAAATTATATATAATTTGTTCGAATACTATTAGTATTTTTCATGTCCCTTTTGCAATAGGAAGTAGATGGTTGAGAATTATCGTTTTTTCAACAAGTAGCATCTACTCATCACTGTTCCTCTTCCAGCTGGAACATTTTAATTTCCTTTTTCTCTGTTTTATTGTACAATGAGTCTCCTTTTTTCGACGTTTCTTAAGATAATTTTCAAATGTTTGAACCCACTTGTTACTGCAATCCTGATCGGTGTCATTATATGTGTTCTCTGCTATAAAAAGTCTTCAGTGTTATAAATCGTAAAATCTGTCATAAAATTGTGATCAGAGGTAACACTATGATTAACATTAAAAGCGTCTATGAAGTTGTAAATCTTAAAATCAGTATAACATTGTCAACTGATCAGTAATTGTGAATTGCTCATTTAAATGTTTCTGATTGTGGAAATACATGGGTGAGTTTCTCCGAATGGGAAGTGTTGATAAAGTATGTGAAAGTGGCACTAACTGACAATTTTTAATGGTAAACAACCAAAAATAACACGATGAAGGTGTACAAGATGCAATATTTAAAAGAAATGCTTCATTAATGTTTTGTAACGAGATTCTAAGTTAGACATGTGGATACATAAATTCCCGCCAATATTGTGACGCAAACTGATGTCTAAAGCTCATTGGTTGAAGTCGGATACGATGCTTAAGAGCCCTCCCCCAATGTTTCTAAGATTCGTCTCTGGTGAACGAAAACATTCTTGCAAGAAAAAATACGCGCAGTTTGATTTGCGCGGATGCAGTTGATTCCTGGGGAATTCGCTTGATGTTGCTATAGCGCGTCCCAGGTTAAGAATGAAGTACAAGGCCTTATGGGCTTTTCCAGTAAATAAATATACCCCCTGTTTTTAAGATTTCACAACTGTGTTTAAACACTATTAACATAATTTTCATCTCAACAATTACATTAGTAAAATAATACTTGGAATACATTATATATTTATCACAAATCGTGGTGAATATCTTTAGAATTTATTATTTTTTGAAGGAAGAGGTACATTTGGCTGTTAGATCAGCCACAGCCGGGGTGCCACATGCTTCGGTTGCCGTATCATACTGTGTTCAGAAAGTTCGCGTTACGATTGTATACATGCGTTTGTTCGCATGTGTATTGTTGTGTTTTGTTTTTGAGATTTATGGTTTTAATCGCGTAAAAGTTAAATTTGGTGTCGTTTACTTTTCTTCATTTTGGTTTTTAGGTAGTGGTAAATGTATTCATTTACAATTTTTTTTAAATTTGCTTTTACTTTGCAAACTTAATTTATAATGAACGATTCACCAACAGTAAAGTGCGAGAGTGGTAAAATGCTCAATAGTCGAAATAAACAAATGGTAATTAATGTTTATAACTATTTAACTATTATTTTATTTTCCAACGGGATTCGTACGCAATGCCTATCAGTAGATAACTGTCCGCTCATCTAGCACGAGGCAGCTCGGTTTCCCGTGAATTAAATCAGTTTGTTCCCGTGGGACCGACTTATTATGTCATCAAAGGAATTTTAAATATTTTGTTCGGTAATCAATTCTTAGTTTTTATCTACTGTTTAAAAGGAAACACGAGGCTTAGCTTTTTTGCAACTGCATGTAGTTGGCTTGAATTTTAGATATGGTATTGAAATAGCGCACTTTAAAATTAATATTACTTCCTGATTTCTTATGGCATTTCGAAGTACAAACGACGTGAAAAGCTTAACAGAAATATGTCCTGTGTGTTGGAGACTCTGAGAAATAGCTTTAGATTTGAGGAAAGGAAGGAAAATACAAGTTCAGAAAATTGGAAAGGTTCGACGTAACTAGCGCTCCGTCCCATTACGGTATTCGTTGTCACTATCGAGCGCGTAAATTGCGATTCTTACTGTACAGCAGAAAAGCGCCTCGTTTGGCATCACTGTTGCCATAAGATACCGTACTTCATTCTAAACCTCAGACGGATAGTTTTGCACAGATCTGCTACTTTCAGCCTTTCCCTTCCTTTTACTGAAGCCATTCCCTTATTGATATCATTGGAGGCGACCAGTGAGAGATGGGAGCTAGTCCAGAAAATAGACTTTTTCACATATTCTATATCTTCATCTTTAATTTATTCCGTAAATTTCATAATTGTATCAAAATCCATTCAGTTATTATATCGATCTTTTAAAATAGGAGACGCTCCCAAGTTTTGACAATTTCCGTGGGAGAGTACAACACGCACTAAGCCACTCAGTGTGAGTGTTGATTACTAGCATCACAACATCAGATGTTTTTCTTATATCTCGTATTCCACTAAAAAAACATGATTGAAGGTCAAGTTTTTGGAATATAAATATAGGGATATTACATGTTAAAAGCCGATTTCACGTGTCAGTTTCAAGGGCTTCTAGTATTCCTTGTTTTTCATGAGTACCGATTGGTGACACAATGAAAAATGAAAGCTACTCTTTAGGAAACAAGGATCGCCGTGGCTGGATGAGATAGCTCCGGGGAACAACTATTCCCATTGCACTATCTCTGACAGGAATGTTCTAAGGTTCGAGACCCGACGGATTTTTGACACTAGCGAGATAGCTTGGTAAATTTCAACCTCTGACTGGAGGAGAGTTCT